TTGCCAGCTAGTACTATATAATGAGACCCTGTCTACAAAACAAAGCAAAACAAAAAAACTGAAAGAATCAGCTTTGTGAATTAGAGAGCTCACTGGTGCTGTTGAAGACCTGTTAAGGAAGTGGGCCTGAAGCCAGGTAGTCAACTGCTGGGCTCCTCCAGGCGAGAAAAGAGGGTGGCCTTTGCTTAGAGGCCAGAGGTTGTGAGAGCTGATTTGGTTGTTAGAACTGACAAAACCCAGCGATTACTTTGATGAGCCAGTTAAGGGCAGGGGGGAATCAGGGTGTCCCAAGTTCTTGACTGGTGGGTTATTGATAACGGTTCACTATGCTAGAGATTGGGACGAGGAGCTGTCTTGTGTGTTTTTGAGAAGGTGTTACTCTGTTGCCCAGGCTGATTCCGAGTTGCTGGACTCCGGTGCTCACCCATCTCAGGCTCGGAGTAGCTGGGACTGTGGGCACACTCCAGGATCATGGTGTGAAGAGCATAGAGATGGAGGTTCTTTTGTTTTTGTTGTTTTGTTTGTTTGAGATAGGGTGTCTATAATTCAGGTTGGCCTTGAACTCACAGTGATTCTCCTGCCTCAGCCTCCCAAGTGCTAGAACTAGAGGCATATGCCACCACACTGGGCATGACACTGAGTTTTTTACCAGGCATGGTGGTGCACACCTATAGTTTCAGCACTTGGAAAGCTGAGGCAGGAGGGTTGTTGTGAGTTCCGGGCCAGCTTGGGCTACAAAGTAAGTTCAAGGCCAGCCTGAACTGCATAGTGAGACCCTATCTCAGAAAGACAAGAAAAAAAGACATTGAGCTTTTGAACATACTGGAATTAGGTGCCTGTAAAATGTTAAGTTAAGCTGCCTGGTACTGACCTTGTAGCTGTTGTCCACCAAAGGGCACTACAGTCACGGGAGGGGTTTGCTTACCTAGGGTGCGAGTACACAAGAAGCGGCGTCCAGGGCATCCCAGAGCAAGGCTTGCACCGAAGGGATGCTGGGTGCACCTTTGGTTTCCTTCTTACCATCACGCTCTGTCTTTTTCATCAAGCAGGAGTTCCCAGGCATGGGAATGCAGGCTGAGTTTATCTACCTCTGTTCTGGATCCCACACATTATTTGGTGTGTAGCAGGCCAATAAAAATCCCATTTACTATTTAGTGAGCGCTTTCTTGGCGCCAGGCTGTGTGCCAGGCAATCTGCACTTAGCTGTGTTTGATGAGTAAATGAAAGAGCTGCTGTTAGGGAGCAGCAGGCGGGACCTTTTGTGTTCTCATCAGTTTTTCCACTTGGGGTCTTTGACTCAGGTAACGAGCTGGAGAAGGGGAGCGAAGCTGGAGTTGACACAGACAAAGTGTTGGAAAGGAGCAGCCTGGGCTGTTTGAAAATCTGAGGTATGTCTTCATGCTCAGGGATGGACCCAAGCAGGGAGTGGGTTTGTTCTTCTCTATGCCCAGCGTGATTCAAACACCCCTTTAAACAATTTTCTTTCAAATTAGTAATGACAAAGTGCCCCTTACATTTTGGTTGGGAAGTTGCTGATAGTTATTCCTTTTTAGCAAAAAAGACCAGAATGGATTCATTACTGAGCAGGGTCACCACTTTTAATTAGGTGTAACCTAAAATGCTCCAAACTGGCTGGGATGTGGGGAGTGCTTGCCGAGCATGTGCAAGGCCCTCAGTTCAATCCCTAGCACTGCAAGTAAAAAAAAAAAAAAAAAAGGAAGGAAGGAAGGAAGGAGTAAATTATACAACAAAGCAGTTCCAAGTACAATGGCTGAAACAAAATAGAATTTTATTTCTGACCCCATAAAAATGTGAAATCCAGGGCTGGGGAGATAGCTTGGCAGCCTAAGTGCCTGCCTGGCAAGTACAAGGTCCTGAGTTTGATCCCCGGTATCACATGCCATGCTGGTCCCATACCTGTAATCCCAGTGCTGGGGAGGCCAAGACAGGAGGATCGCTCTGGAGTCTGAACTGTGTAGTTAGACCCTGTACCTAAGTAAATAAATAAATAAGCAAAATATATTTTTAAAAACATAGGGCCGGGGAGATGGCTCAGTAGAATAAGCGCTTCCCTGGCAAGTGCAAGGGCCTGAGTTCAATCCCCGGTTCAGCAAAAAATAAAAAATAAAAATATGCGCAGTCCAGAGCTGGTAGAGTAGATCACATTGTCCCATGAGGGTCTACTTGGGAACAGGATCACCTGGCTCTCCCGGCTCAAACTCAGGCTTCCATCACATGGTCCACGCTGGCTGCCCCAGCTCCTACCATCATGTATGAATCCATCTGGCAGATGGGAACAACAGCGCAGGGAGCACATTCTTACATTTTTGTGTAACATGGTTCCCAAACATAAGCGAACTCCTGCATCTGGTATACAACCAAAGAATGAGTCTTGCCTGTTCCAGTGCTGGAGGAAAAACTGGCTGAGACATCCAGGGTAGCTGGATCAGTGCTCTGGATGCAGTCCTGGCCTGAGGGAAGCCCACGGAATGGGTAAGGAGGGCTGGGCTTGCTCCCCAGGCCTCTGCCTCCCCACGGCATGCTGCTCTCTCTGGATCTGAGTAGGTTTATGGTGCTGGGGCTCAGAGGCTCCAGGCTCCTTTATGTCTTCAGAGTTTCCTGAGCGCAGCATGTGAATAATCACAGTGACGTGAAAAATGCCCAAAAGTCTAATTAAGAAGAGGTCTGGTGCAGCCAGGGTGCGGTGGTGCAGTCCTGTGACCCCAGCATTTTGGAGGCTGTGGCAGCCGGACCACAAAATCAAGCTAGGTTTGAGTAACCTAATGGTTTAGACTGGCAAGCCCATGAGCATGCACAGGAGGCTGGAAGGTTTGGAGGAAGGACATGATGGGTCGAGAGAATCAGGCAGCAAGGACCCTGGAGTGAGTGAGAATCTGTTGCCGGGGTAGGTACTGAATTGCTGAGCCTCAGTTTCCTAACCTGTGAAGCAGGGTTCACAACATCTGCCTCACAAAATTGTTTTGAGAGTTGTGTATGCCTCGGCAGATAAACCTCTGGCATCCTAGTGTGTCCCACCATGCCCTGCTTGGCCAGTCTTGAGTGACCAAAGTGACAGAGGTCAGAGGGCATTTTGGCATGGAGACATTTCAGCATGTGAGACAGGTGACAGCATGGGTGTGTGGCACTCTCAGAGCTCCTTGTGGGTGTCTGTGGCTTAGCCATCCCTGGAGGAATTAAGGTTGACCTCAATAATGTAATCAGCTCGGACACATGAGTGACATGGCTTGTGGTGTAGACTTGTGCTGTGCGCTAGAGGCATGTGGTTCTTCAGGCGGAGCTTTAAGGGAGGAAGCAAGCATGAGATTAGAATGGAGAGCTGCTCTCTTCTGTCTCAGCAGCAGCAGCCTCAGCTGCGAACCTTTCGGGCCTGGGGGTTTACTCAATGTCCAGGCATGCCCAACTGCTGGTCTTGAACTGTCCGGCAGTGAAGTTTATCCTCCTGTCCTACCCACGTCCTCTCCTGGAGCTGTCTGTCACTCTGAGGAGTGGCTTTCCTGTCCCAGGGAAGGCACTGTCCAGTTTTGAAGTCCTGCCTGATGGGAAGGGGTATCTGGCTGGCCTGGAGCCTGAGCCGAGGGAAGCTCTGCTTCTCTCAGGTGATCTGGTCCCAGGCTCCCAGCAGGGGCTTTCTGGGTGTGCTGTGGCTTAGTCTGTTGCATTTTGAGTTTCAAAATTTTTTATTTATTTATTTTCCAAACACAATTTGAAACAATTTAGGCTGGGTGTGGTGGCACATCCCAGCACTCGGGAGGCTGAGGCAGGAGGATCCTTAACCAGTTCAAGACCAGCCTGAGCTACAAAGTAAGCTCAAGGCCAGCCTGAACTTCATAGCAAGACCCGGTCTGAAAAAGACCCTCCCCCCCAAAAGAAGTTTAATTTGTAATTTGTTTTATGTCAAATGTTGAGTAGGTGCAAAAGAATGTACTTAGGATAAACGGGGATATAAGGAACACACCATCCTGTCACCCAATTTACAAAAAGAGTGTTGCCATGACCTTGGGAGTCCATAGTGTCCCGCAGACCCACAGGTCCTGCATGCATTTTGCTCTTGTCCACTTTCTTTTGCTTTTTTAGGATTATAGTTGTACACCATCATGCCATGCAATTGGTATTTACTTTTTTTTCTGTGCTTTTTTTTTGTTTATTTGTTCATTATAATACTGGAGATTGATTGAACCTAGGACCTTCATACAGAGCTACATTCACATCCTTTTTTTTTTTTTTTCTTTTTTTTTGGTGGTATTGGGGATTAAAATCAACCTTGCACTTACTAGGCAAGTGCTTAAGCCACTGAGCTATATCCCCAACCCTCCCAGCCCTTTTAAATGTCTTTTTATTCTTTATTTTAAGACAGGGTTTCACTAAGTTGTTAAGTTGCTGTCTTAGTTACTCTTCTCTTGTTGCTGGGACAAGTACCCAACACTCAAAATGAAAGAAGGAAAGGTTTATTTAGCTCACAGTTACTGGAGGCTTCAGTCCATACTCAGCTGGCTCCAAGGCAGAGCAGCATATGGCAGAGGGCAGCAGTTCATGGTGGCGGAAAACAGCAAAAGCAACAAGAGCAAAAAGGGAGGTGGGTGGTAGAAGGCTCTTTCAGTCCCTTATGTTGTATATTACCCAATAGGGTGCATGTAGCGCTCACACCCATAATCCCACTACTAGACAATGAATCAACCACAGACTCTAGATTCAGCCACCCCATGACTGCTTGAGGCTTGGGGGGACATCTAGACACAGAGCATAACACAGGCTAAGCAACAACGCTGGCTTGGACTTGAAATCCTGTTGACTCCTATCTCAGTTCCTCTTGTTGCTGGGACAAGTACCTGACACTTAGAATGAAGGAAGGAAACTGTGAGGTTTATTTAGCTCACAGTTACTGGAGGCTTCAGTCCATACTCAGCTGGGTCCAACGCAGAGCAGCACATAGTAGAGGGCAACCTTTCATGGTGGTGGCAAAGAGCAAGAGCAAAGGGAGGGATAGCAGCAGCTCAAGCCCCTAGCTTCTCTTCCCACCTTACATTGTAATGCACATTACCTGTCCCAGGGCAGGTGCAGCAAGCACACCCACAGTAATCAATCACAAACTCCAGAAGCCACCCCAAGACTGCATGAGGTTTTGGGGGGACACCTAGACACAAACCATAACAGTTGCCCAGGCTGGGCTGAAATGTGCAGTCCTGCTGCCTCATCCTCCCAGAGTGCTGGGATTATAGGTATATACTACCTTAACTGGCTATTTTGTATGATTTTGAACTCAATATAAATTTAACATTGTTTTCTTCCATGACCCAGATTTTTTGTATAACATATATTCTTGGGATCAATCCATGTTGCATGTTTGTATTTCATGTATTAAAATATTTCACTATTCTGATAAAGCAGTGTAAGATTGTTATTTTGGGTTTTATCTTCCTGATTACTAGTGAGTTGAGTGTCTTTTCTTAAATGTATGCATCATTTTTATGATATTGAGCCTCCCAATCCATGAACATGGTACATCTCTGGATTTCTGTACTTTCCAAAGTCTAGTGTTAGTGTCTTCACACTGAAATACTCAGCTGGGACCGTGAGCCCTTAACACTGTAGGCATGGTTTAGTTTTTTATAAAATTTTACCAGATGTCATTTAGCTCTGTGTTCAGATGTTCTCATTATTACTGCTTCCCTCATTCTGTTTCTTCTACAGCTCATAGGGATCACGTCACCTGCCAGAACAATATCTTTTATGTGGTGTGACTGTGGGCTGTAAAAAGATGTGATAGGGCTACATTCCATCTGAGGCCCATTTGGGGCTTCACACGCTCAGGGGAGCTTCCAGCCTCCTCCCCTCGGTGACAGCATATGGTAGAGGCAGATTTCTCGCAGTCTTCTTTGCCCAGGGCTTGTGTGACCTCCTTTCTGGTGGGTGGGGAGCTCAAACTTGCGCAGTTCAGCAAATGCTCGCAGTGCCCCTGTTCTCAAGCTTCATTTGCTCTCTGGATTCTAGCCCTGGTGTAGTTTTTCCCCTTTCTTTATTGGTTACTTGACTTCCCAGTTCTGTGATACATTTAAAAAAACATGCCATGAAATTTTTATTCAGCATTTATAGCTGTTTGCAGTCGGAGAGTTGACCAGGGTTATCTGGTGTACAGCACTTGCAAAAATTGAGATGTTTCATAGGTGTTAATTTTGCAGTTCATTTGGCAGCAGCAAACTCTGAATATTAGATAGAATAATGTTCTGCTCCTGGGTTTTATATCCTAACTTATTGGTACAAGGAAAAGGCATTGGTGAATACCTTATTTATTTGTCTTTAATGGCGCTGGGGATCAAACCCAGGATTTTGTGCATGCAAGGCAAGAGCTGTACCACTGCGCCACATCCCC